GGACACATTCAGTCAGTATGCAAAGCTACTGTCCATTTTGCTTCAAGCTGTACTAGATCTTGTAATTTAAGTTTCAATAATTCGGATGTTTCTAATGATCATTTATCTTTATCAACTATTTCAAAAGACAGTGCAGAGTCATATGGCAGTTCAGAGTTGGATGAAATCCAGAATTCTTGTGAGACAGCAGTTCCTAATCAACCGATTTATCATAATTCTCATGCTATTGTACCAGGTATGACTTTTCCTAATGATTCACATATTTCTAATGAAATTACTTGCATTTCTGAAGAAAATATGTTAAATGAACCTAATCATGATCGGAAACCTGATGCGGTTTGGATAGATGCTGATTTTTCTAACGATCCTACGCTCTGCAATGACAGTCCTAATGAATTTCATGAGAATATTTCAGAAGAATCAAATCCTGATGTCATATCATATATCACCTCTCCCCATAATGCATTTGATCCTTGTGAAAAACCTGCTCAATGCGAAGCACGAGTACTAAGTGACCTCGAGTTTGATTACATTTCGGATGATTTCATATGAACTGCTGTTTACCCTTATCACAAAAACAGTTCTAATGTTTACTCTAAACAATGTGAGAAATATATTTTAAATGAAGCCACATTATTCATAACTTGAGGATATAAAGATCTAACATTATTTCGTGGGAAAGGATAGTGTTGAAAAATCTATGGTTCGAATTCTAGATATTAATGATTTCATTACGAAACCGACATACTGGTTGTATACAGTTCCAGGTGAGTCTGTTCCTATTTCGTTTGTTAATTCCAATACTAATGAGCATATTCTAGATACTACAAAGTTTTCATCTAATAAATTGTCGGACAGACTCAGGATGAACATAAAAAGATGTACAGCCGGTTACAAACACTTATACTCCTATTTAAGCTGTGGCGAATGTGGTGTTTGTATTAACTAATTATTCTATTGTACTTGTTGAATGCTCGATTTCGAATTTTAAATACAACACATTCGTTTGTGCTTGTGTCGTAGTTCTTGATTCAATTGCGTTAATTCTGGGATTCCTAGTTAATAACACAATTCAAATAATTCAATACATCATAGTATTCGATAATTTTCTAAGCTTTTAGTAATGAATACATATAACACAGACTCGTAGATCACCAACATGGATGACCGGTCTCTGATGATTCGGTGTCTTCTCTATCTAAGTTTGAAAGGCGTCGAAGTCACACTTCACGGTTAGTACTTAACTTCGATCAACCTTACTTCGTATCCTAGTACTATGACTCCTTTGGAGACGTACAACACAAACGGCGTTATTACAGAAATATGGTGGTAATTGTAGGTGTAAGAGACAGAGAAAGACCACTCCCTCAATGGCCATTTCATAGCGTGTAATCAGATGATGCACTTTGGTTGTCCTTCACCTTGACTAGGATCGGTAGGCTGTTCGATATTTGGTGACCGGACTATCAGGTGATTTGGTTAAAGCCCAGTGTCATTTCACTGAACTTGGAGATTAATACATGAACAGTGAGCACTATTAAATAACTTTTTATTTTTAATTGGTTTTAATATAAAAAAGCCTGTGGTGGTTGACATTCGATATAATTCTTAAATTTCGTATACTGCCCGTCCTGATAACCTTTACTTGACAACGCTCAACGGTATTGAAATCAGAAGACGAATCTGAAGTGTTGATTATGTTTATTATTGAACCGCACATAGATCCGCACAATTGCAAGCACACAAAGCAAGAATGATATGCAAGTGTCAAAGAACAAGCAAGCGAGTAAGTCCATGAACATCATTAATACATATATGTATTTGGGACATTGAATGTGTTGTCAAATCATTTTGGCGACTAACACTAAAGCTAGCAGAATGAATATGTGCGTAGGCGGTAAGCAGTGCTCAACCATCGACACAATCCAACAGCCATTAACAATCAATAATAACAATGATAGGAGAATATATCACTCATTGAACGTCTTTCGGACTGTCTACAAGCGCGACTAAGGAGACAACCGATAATTATCATTCTCGTCCACACTGGAGGATCCATTTCGAATGTTCTGTGTGTGGAAATCCCTCCATGTAGGCACTTGCAGTTCATTCCTATTGATTCCTTTACTTGTACATTTTGTTAGTCTATTTCATTGCATTCGAGTTGGCAACATTTGCATTTTATTATAGTTTTTATTTTTCTTACGCCTTCACTAAGTTTCGATGTTTCTTCCTGATCTGCATTTATGTTGTCTCACTTGATGCTTAGTCGTGACGGCAGCCAATGTTGGTTTATTCCTCCTTTTCATTGTGCTGTTTGTATTGACTGATATTGTGCATTTTCGAATGTGAATTGAAGCACCCCTCCAGAATTGGAAACACTCTGTGTTATAAAGCAGTCAAATATTATCTTTTGAACGAATCGGTGCGTGCTCTATCCAGACAGGATGGGATAACACTTGTTCGTTGCGATTGGTAATTTTCTCACATCCTTTATCAACTTCCTCATTTATTGTAATTTAGATTTGATTGATTGAACAATTATTGGTTGGATAGCTGGGTAGTCATATTTGATTAGGTAACAGTGTACGTTAAAATTTATGATGAATTTTGAAACCTTCATTTTACCCAATCACTTTGTTTTAGTTTCAACTGGGTAAGGATGCATATCCAGCCTACCTGGACAGTTATTTTTCAGTCCAAACCTTAATTTGGATCCTACACACACATCACCACCCCTGCGATGTTTGATCTTATGACTTCACATTTGGATCTATTTGAAAAAATCTCGTTCGATTCCGTTCTCTTGATAACCTACGGCTGGCTTCCGATTTCCGCTCATGTTTTCTCATTTCAACCTAAGGTGTGGGTGGTAGATAATTAAAGGTATCATATATTTCCATTAGCAAAGGTTTAGCTAGAGATGACCCACCTAAATTTTCTCTATCTCCCAGTTAAGTTGTGTGTCTGATAGTTAGTGTATTTTCAACAATGATTTCATACGATAACATCCAACAAATTTTTTTATACACCCAAATATCCGTAATGGCTTTCCTGGCCGGAAATTACATGCATAAACGAAGTTTCGAATCTTCGGGTAATTCTCTTTCTTATTTTTTGTAATTCGTTCTTTCTGTCATTCGGGTTCAAAACATCAAAAATGTCCTAACTGGTCGGCAAAACATTATTTCGGCTAGTGGTTTCTGGTCTTGACAATTTGAAGTGAGTGTAATTCTGTAAGAGATTGGGAACTATCGCAGGGCCTCTTCCACTTTATTTTCACGTTCCGACTTGAAAAAAGCTTGCTTAAGAATATCAACAAATTTCTTAGCTTGCCCAGTTAACTGAGGGGGATACGGCGGAGTTCTAGTATGTTAGATCACATTTTCTTTGCAAAACTACTTAAACTCTGGCGACGTAAGTCGCGTTCCGTTATTTGAAACCAAAACATTAGGTGTTCCAAACCTACTAAATAGTAGTCTGAAGTGTCAAAGTGTTTCAGATGTAGACGGTCTTCGCATAACATAGATTTCAGGCCATTTGGAGTATAAATTTACCACCACCAGAAAACATTGTCTGTGTATTGGTTCAGCATAATCGATGTGTACTCGAATCCAAGGCTTGTTCGTTTCTGTTCATGGCTGGGATTCTACTTTCGGTGGATCGTTTGCACCTTCGGCATATCAACAACATCTCAATACGCGTTCATTCATATTCTTATCCGTGAATGACCAGTAGACATAACTATGCATAATTGCCATCATTCTGTTCATTCCCGGATGACCAATACGAAACGTTTTAAGCACAAATAACTGCAGAGATTTGGGTGCGAAAACACGATTGCCATACATCAAACGATTATCATAAATCCGTATAGACTCACGACTCAGAAACAATTCGTGAAACTCCCAATCAACGTTATCCTGTTCCCGACCCTAATAATAACTCCTCGTATTCTATTGAGTAGAGGATCAAGAGCCGATTTTACGTGCTTCGGTTCTTTTTATGGACAGTAAAAAGTAATTCTAGATAAACCAGACTTATTCTTCGCTAGAGCTTGTGGCGACTCACATTTTTGAAGAGAACGTGGTTGATATGATTGAAACAATTATTATTGTAACCTATTGTACCAGTGATTGTTTCACTGTACCTGTTTGCTTAGGTGTAACAAAAAAACACCCTTGCGTTGTTTGAGACCTTGCAAGAATTCTCGTACGCTCATTAGTCTCGCTTGTAGATTTTGGAACGATATGGATATTATTTTGATACCATGAGATCGCCAACAAATAAATCTTAGCTCAAACTTTCAACTGCTTTCTGGTATTTGGTCTACAGAGGGGTCTAATCTGGTAACTGGCACGTAATCTATGTGTAGTGGTGATCGTAGTCAACCGCAACTGGACTCCAACTACAAAGTATTCTCAAGATATGAATCCGTAAGCATATACTGCAATGGATCTCTCTCACAAACGTACACTTCAATACACACATAGAACACTATTCGACACCATGAGGGGAAGTGGTTTCTGGCATTGTTTGGCAGACAGAATTTTGGGTAAAGTTTGTGGTGGTCCAAGAACACTTGAGTGATGGGCGTGAACCTCTACAGAGGTCTAATTTGGGTTTCCAAATTTCTGAATTTCGAGTGTCCATTAATTTCCATTAGGTCTACGGCATGATAGAGCAGCTATTTCTTAAAAAATATTCTGTGAGTGTCCATTTCCAAATAAAATATATGCTCATCTGAACTGGATTCAGTCAATCCTACTCGACGAGGACTAGCGGAATTTCTGAGAGTTTGAAACAGAAAAATCATTTAAGTGTCGTTTTAATAATGCCAGTCTAGTTTCTGAACGAAAAAGAACTCACTATACAATGATCCTTTTTCTATGGATACTCAGTCAACGTGAACATCATTACTTTGTCTTTGAATGTTCTCATCCTTCAACAGTTGCTGTGTACGCTACATTAAGTGTACGCGGGCAGTACGACGGTGTAGGATGAAGTGTCGTTGGACGTTCTTAAATTTACTTCTCTTATGTAAGTAATACAAATGACTTATAACACACAACTTTGCGCAGTATTATTCGTGCAATGTGAACTGTTTTGGAATTTCCCACGTAATTCAAGGGAAGTTTTTCATGCGTATGTGAATGAAAAAGCACGTACTATACAAGTATTTCCGTCAATTCAAGTTAAACTAACTAATGGTACGTTTAAAAACAAACTTTAAGCTTTTATATTTAATTCTGTATCGAGACTTTTAGAAGCTAACCAAATTTTTATTTTCAAATAATGTAGTATTTAGTATTCGTTCGACTAATTTATTCGTAGTCATCGAATTCTGAATGTTATTTTGTTCGCGAATTTGAGCCACCAGAATAGAACATAGTATCATGTTAAAATTAAATAAATAGCTACAAGCTTGAATTAGAAAAAGATTTGTTTAGAATTCATACGGAATATGGTGATGAGTAACTCATCCTTTACATCATATTATAAACTGTCTTCCAACTGTGAGACTGGATGTGTCCAAAGTCTGGAGGTTTGTTATTCATTTCAACAAAATAATAAAATACCCTCAGGTGATCATTAAAAAGTACTGTACAATGTGCACATCCATCAACGCCTAAATGAATGCGAAAAAGTAGAAAAGTAGAAAAAAACCTATCAATAAATTCATCTTGCTGAATACCAACTTTCTATCAAATACATATGTGCTCTTTTTGTTTATCCTATCGCCTTCTCGCCTTATAAATCTCACTCTTTGCACTGACTGAAAACTTAAAATTTTCAACTAATGTGTTTGTTCCTTGAATCTGCTTTCGATTTTCATTTATTTTTCGATAAGTAGCGCAAGTTGGTTGCTGAGAATATTTTCAGCAGTGTTATAAAAGCGACTAGTCAAGTAAAATGTATCAGTGATATTACATCATGTCATGGCTGTAAAGTATTACCCCAAGTGTCTCATCGTATGTAATATTTAGAAATGATATCTCGCCTATTCACCAGAATCAACCATATAGTAAACTTTGTAATTTTGGCTCATGAAGATATTTAGGCTGCAAACAGTAAATATACCGCATTTCGTCTCAGTAGAGCGCAAACGTTAAAAAATCTTTGATTTGCGCAGAAATCTGACAGAAAAATGCAGTTCAACTTGTGGCGATTTTATTTATTCGTTTGGCATCAGCGCAAACTTACCGATGTTAAAATCCCTGAGTAATTTAGTGGTCACTTAATTAGCGATGGGGTTTTCATTACAGATTTGGTTATTTCTCAATCTGTTCTTCATAGACCTAGTCGATGCAAAAACCATTTAAAATTTCTTCGTTTATATGTGGAAAGAAAAAGGCCTTGTAGCTTGTAAGATATGAATGAAAGACTAATAACTTCAAATACGGAACATTAAAATTTAACATAACTACATACTTTTTGAACTCATCTTTTATCAATTAATCTTCTAAACTCACAGCAATGCATCTTCTTTGTGTAATTTCGGAGTTATATCAGGACGCATGACTTCATGGTGACAGGTTGTTACGTGCAAAGTAATGAGTAAAACCTGCTCAATTTTGATGTTGAGCCGCACATTAGATGACCGAACTGTGTTTGTTTTCTTACTTGCGCTTTTTTAAAATAAATCCATACGTGTCACTAAATGTAAACGGTCTAAATCATTATGTTTTAGTTATTTATACTGCTTATTGACGTTAGCTTGTTAACTATTGAAAGTCAGTGGGCAGTGAACAACTGTTTTCTCCCACCTCATGGCTTCGGAAACATCCCGTCAGGACCCCTCCAAAATTGAACCTCTAGGCCTTTCAGTCACATGGCATTAATGAACATATGTATTTATTAATGGCCATTTTTGGGTTTTGAGTAACCTTTACAAATATATTATTATATCTTAATTAGTTGCACCTCATCTGTGGTTGGTTTAACTTGATAACCTCTGATATTTGACACTTAGAAATTTTTATTTTTCAACATAAGACTCAGTTCACTCATAAATGGTTCTATTACATCATCATTCTTTTGCTTTAACCAAATGTGTATAGCTGTAAAACTAATCACTCATTTTGAAATAATGACTGAATCCATAACCTCATCACTGTTTGGATTATAACAATAACCTAGAACATGTTAAAATAGTTCAGGGTTTATGAGGACATATCGTCTTTGCATTTCTACAAGGCATTTAAACTCGATTTCAAGCATTGAAATATGATATGATTTAAATTCTGATCCAAGATATTGAATACTTTTTTCATAAGATAGATAAATGCTATGAAACATGGTAGACTGAATAACTATCTCTTCCTACTTTGATAATTCTAGCCGTATTAAACGTAGATGCCAATATACGGATAGAAATTAGTTAAGAAATTGATGAAACAAATCGGTAGCTGTTCTGTTCTGCAGTGAGATTTTCTATTAGCACATCCAGTGCCATCCTATCATGGGAAGTAGACGTAACCTCCAAACCTCTCATGATACGTGTTACTTCTGGAATACTTAATATCTTATAATTCACATTTCCAACCTGATTTGGATCTACAGAATGATAATTATCCAACACTTCAATATTGGAAATTTCAAACCTTTTACTGCAAATCATCCTTCAGTCATATTCTTTATCCTCAGTCTTTCTGATTATCTCTAATACTTCTGTTATTATGACTCGTTTTGTAATTTGATATCTCTGTGACAACGGGTGTGACAACTTGAACTAGCTCACGTCATTTTCAAGTCCAACATCGGTTATGACTAACTTAATTATTTAGCCACATGAATTATCATGGAAAATTCAACGTACAGGAAGTAAAGCCGAACAAAATACCACAAGTCAATTCACTACGCATATTTTCCTCTTAATTTTTGTCTTCTAATTTTTGTTCTTTCTCCCATTTTTTAGCTACACAAGTACCTAAATATCCCGTAGATATCTTTGTTTTCCTTGATTATTGTAACAAGTAGTTAGTAACTTTGAAGCGATATAGCTAACAATCCATTTTTGCATTTGTTATCTGAATTTTCTCATTAATGTTTAGGACTGCAATTGAACAGTCTCTTATTGACATACGGGCATTCTTTACGAATTGCCTCGATATCGTCTAAATCACATGCAGTAGAATCGAGGATATGCGTTTATTCCTATTTGGGACCGGTCACCTGGGTGTACCTATATCCCACAGCTGATGTTAACTCAGGGACTCCACTACAGTATTGTTCACTTCAAACGCCATGACGTTATTCACTTAGCTACTGAGTCCAGACCCCGTTGCATAAGCTAGTGGCTATCTGGACTCAGTAACTAAGTGAATGACGTTATGACGTTTGAAGTGGACGGTACTGGGCTGGAGTTTCTGAGTGAACGTCAACTGTGGGATATAGGTACACACAGGTGACCACTCCCAAACAGGAATAAACTTGCGTCCTCGATTCTACTGCTAACCACCACCATCTTTGCTTATAATAGCCCACCGTTGTTCTCAATGGCATATGTGCATTCACTCTATGTCATTCTCTAAAACCTGAGTTCCAAAATCTCCTACCTTTCTTCCTATTTCTATACTTAGTCTTTTCTATGGCTACTGATATCGTTACTATTTCTACTATGTGATTTGTTTAGAAATAATTTTATCTCACTGTTGTAATGAAATGTAACAACTTGCAAATAAGTCAGGTTCTGCGATTCATATGACTGACTAGCCAATTTTCTTTATTTATGTTTCTACAAATAACAGAACGATGAAAATATACTCTTCTTTAAAGTATTTTAGATTTCTAAATGCACCCCTTTATTTAAAATTCCTCTTTACTAAAAATCGGAAGGCTATGCGCATCACAGTACAGGTTAATATTACTTCTTTAAAACTCTACACAAATGGTAAAAGCAATAAAATTTTCAACATATTAAAAACCAAATAAACTAGCTTCTTGCTATCTACATATATTGACCTGTAGATAATTTGATAGTTATAACTTGGGTTTATCTTAATTCCATCTCTACGCAAAATATTGTGTACTCAGTTTCAGTCAATATTTCTTATCTGTTAAATAGCACTATGATACAGATACTTGTATTGAATTAGATGGAGTGGGGTCTTAACCTGTGATTAGTTAGTTGAAAATTTTGACTGTCTTGTTTTATTACTCAATGTTTTATCTCAATTCCATGTGAAAAACTATAACCATCATCATTTTATAAATTTTAAGAACGAATATGTGAACTGTGGCAACTATTTTTATTTTTACAATAAATAGATTCAAAACTATGTTCCATCTCATTACTATCATCTGGCAGAAATAGTGTTCCTAACTTTATTCATGGTAATGTTTTAAACCAAGAGAAAGGATATGGTTATTTAACTTTCAATGAAACATCATATCGTCATGCTAAAAGTTTTGGTAGTTTAGAAGCTAGAACAGGATTTTATCATTTGAAAATAATAGCTGAAGACTGTTCTCATCCAACAAAGTCGACAAAATCTTGGCCAATTACATTTGAAGTGAGCGGTTCTTTAAGTTTAATTTTATAAATGCGCATGAATGTATTTTCAAATTCAATGTTAGTAGATTTTTTTTACTGAGAAATAAGGTACATGACGACAAGTGATGTAACGTTGCATAGCTTTATGCATGGATAAAATTCATGAAAAGTTGCGTAAGCCAAATAGTTCTATTTCTAATCGAATCCTTTTCCAGGTTTACTTCCGTATATATTATAAGTGTGTATCTATGTCCATATATTTATCTAACGACGATGATTGATGAGTTAACGATAAGAGCTACTGAGTTCCTACAATTACTCATAATTGTAGCCGAATAGTAAATCGATGGATGTAAAAACAGAATAATGTAGGGAGCATGTAAAAACAAAAATATTTCAATAAATGAAACTATTTTAACCTTGTCAAAAAACCAATTTAGTGTTACGTAATGGTAACATGTGAAGCATAAATACGAAAAGACTTTGTTCAAGTTTGACTGCATGATCTGAATCAAGCATTTATTATACGCAGCAATGAATAGTGACTAGCAGTGGGATCCAGAATGCACTTTCCGTCCTACTTGTGACTCGTCAGCTAGATTAACCTGCATCTTAGATTAAGCATTAACTCTGGGATGCAGGTACATCCAGATGACCAGTCCCAAATGGGAATAAACGCACATCCTAAATTTCAATGCTATCCACCATCCATCTTTGCTTATAATGGTTGTGATTTAAGACAGTAATCGAGACAACCCATACAGGATACAAGATTGATCAATTGCAGTCCTAAACATCAATTGGAATATTCATAAAACCAATACAAAAATGAATTTAACATTGTTTCGGTAAGTAGCATTAAAATCCTGTTCAACTTACAACTAGTTGGTAGCATGTTGTTTGATATGTGCTTTTTTTCCTGGTAGCTTTATAAAGCGACATATACTCATATGATATATGAGCTTGAATCTAATAATCATTCATGATTATCCACTCTCTTTAGAGCTTCAGCTGTATGAAGACTACTTACATTATATCTGAGTTTTAAAGTTTTTACATGTTAGATGACCCACCTTAGATAACGCATAGAATGAAGATCTTTCTACACCAGAAAAAGACTTAGGTCAACTCTTGTGTGAACCACTAGGTTGTGACCATACAGATGGGAAAATTCTTATGTTTTGGATTTGATACCGTGTACAATCGTGCTAATAGATTTCTTACGAAGTTTAATTTTTTTAAAAAGAAAAACAACTGTCTTGCTAAGTTTTCGGACTGACAGAATCTATTCAGTAGTATAGAGATATGTTCAGCAGCTAAATTTTACTTTCTAAACAATTTATTCACATATCTTTGATCATCTCTTACACATTATCAATCATGTTTGATTCGATAATCTTATATAAATTGGGCATTGAGTCGATTGTTTATAATACGAAAACAATATATTTGTAATATTTTAATGAATGAAAATCGAATTTCGAACTCTTTGAGACTTAGGGTAACTCACTTTTACGAAGAATAAGTAACCTATCTAAATTATCAGAATTTTAGACAATGCAGAGGGAAAAATCAAAATGTTTAAAACAGTCGTGTATATTGAACAATTTTTCCATCGTTACTGTGAACAACATTATTAGCACAAACTTTAGGTAAAAGTGAGCTATTCGAGCTACTCCACTTATGACTGATAGCTTGTGTTGTCTACCTTGATTTTGATTGGTTATTGTCGATGTACCTGTTCTGGAGAACAGTGAAAGCTTTACAAATAAAATCTTCCGCTCAAAATCATCAAAGTAAGCCTCAAATTTTGTTCATTATCTAGAAAAATGGTGTGTTTGCAATGTAAAAGAGTAGAGCTAATTTGTGTGTTAATTGTGTGCTGTTTAAACAGGTTGAGTGTGTTTACTTAGAAAACTAGTTTGAATTGGTTGGATAGTTAAACGTTCCTTTTTATTGACCACAATGGTGTTTAGCAACATATCTAAAGCTTCAGCCACTTGCTTTTATTTTTGGCTGGAACAACTTTTATGAATTGTTTTGATATTGTCAGTATCGATTTGATGGATCATGGGAATACCATTTACTGCTGCTACTGATTTATAACTCATAGATTTTTAAGTTTCGTAGAATTGTTCGCAAGTTGTTTTTTTAATAAAGTTTAGATGTTTCTTAAGAGGATTTATGATTTCTTGAAAAAACTCCCCAACATCTATGACAGCACTATCGATACAGTTCAGTGCATGAATGAGGGTATCTTTTCCTTTATTCAAGCTAAAACATAAACACATATATTCCTTATAATATACTGTTTACATTTTAGCATATTCAATCTGATTTACCAATTTGGTCTAAAACAAAATATGCATTTGAAATAGATTCATTACATAGACCAGGTCATGAAGTTGGTAAAGTGACAGCATACACATCAGCTATAAATATGACAGAAAATGATAATTTTTTATACGGTGATGATACCGGTATGTGCGCCTATACAATACAAGATCCAAGTTATTCATTCGCAATTGATGGGCACGGTAAGTGTACATTGAGTTATTTCAAAAGAAATGCTTTCTGTTTTGTTTAATAATTACTATCTCTATGACCTACTTCAATTAAGTTACTGAAATAAAGTTGATTTTATTCCACGAAACGTGGCAATTAATAACAGTTGGTAAATCCTATATAACCCTTGCCGGTTGAATCGATTATCATTTTTGTAGTATTTCATAAGATGATGTCTTCAGTTAAACTAAGCAGTGTAGACAATTTCAGACTACTTGGTTTAGGTCCGTATGATTATCATTATTAATGGATAGAGACTGTTGATGAAATAAGTTTGAACTAATAATGATTACCCAGGTGCATTCACTTTTCATTTCAAAATGCTCATACTTTTTTATTCCGCAAATCGGATCTTCCAGATTCATATTCTCTATGTTTAAGGTTTTGTTTTTTTTACCATCCCTGATATTAATGTTTCGGTATTCATGTTTATAATTCAATATCACTGTGCCCATAAGTTGTAACAGCTTGGATCGATGCACACATGTACACCATGTTCTTATTTGGATACGACTATAATTATCGTCAATCAATTCATTTCTGTAAAATATGATACATTTGTTTGAACAGTAATTTGTTTCTATGCTGCGTTCAATCGTTCCTTTCGTCTATTTTATGGAGAGACTATAATTTATGGACGAACCAATCAGGTGTAGAGTTTAGCGCGAAATTCATTCACCCATTTGTCTAAATAGAGTTTTTATATTATAGCTAATGTCAGTTCGTGATGAAAACACTAAATGTAATTTTTAAACTTAATCATCAACCGTAAATCATAATTTTAATTCCTCACACAGGTTCATTATTCTCATTTGGTCATGATTATTAAGTGGACACTCTCAAGGTCAATCTAACGTCTAGAGAAAACCAGGCTGGTTGTCGACCTGGATGTGGTTGTATAGACCAGATATTCACACTAATTCAGGTCCTAGAATATAGACACAGATTCAGACACCCCAATATCGTTGTATTTATCGTCCTTAAGGCAACGTTTCATTCTGATGGTCTTAAAATCCTATGGCAGTTCGTCACTGAAAGTAGTACCAAAGGAGTACATTAACCTTATAAAGGTTCTCCACTCGAATACAAATGGTTGACTGAGAGCTTATGGCGAACTGTGATCAGAATTGATTACCTCAGGCGGTGTTCGTCATGGCTGTCCACTCTCTCCATTCTTGTTCGACTTTGTCGTTGACGTGCTTATAGAGATAAAAAATTTCCTCATCTTAATTTCCAGGGATTGAACTTCTACCGGGAGATTCACTTGTTGAATTATAATGTGCCGATGACATAGTTCTATTTGGTGAAGACGCTGACAAAATACAGAATCTTCTGACCACTCTAAGCAACAATGCAAGCATGTTTGGGATGCGATTCTCCCGCTCGAAATACAAAATATTGCTTCAGAATAGAGTTGCATCAAGACCCAAACCAATGGTATGGAGTGAAGTATTTGAGCGTGCTGACCGCTCCACTTATCTTAGGAGTCTCGCCAGCCCTTGTGGTCTGGTGTGTGACGAAATCTCAGCAGGAATACAGAAGGCTCGACTAGCTTTTGCCAACTTGCGTCATTTATGGCGTAGGCGAGATATCCGTCTACCAACCAAAGGATGGGTTTACTGCACAGCAGTTCGTTCGGTCCTATTTTATGTCTGTGAAACATGACCGGTAAGAGCAGAGGATATTCGTAGGTTGTTAGTATTCAACCATAGGTGTCTTCGAAAGATTGTTCGTATATCCTGAGACCATTGAGTAAGTAACGCAGTTGTTAGGAAGCGGGTACTAGGTAAGGATGGCAAATCGATTGATGAATTAGTGAAACTTCATCAGTTGAGATGGCTGGGACACGTGTTACGTATGCCCAACCGCCGACTGCCTCGATGTGCGATGTTCAATGGTATAGGAGTAGGTTGTAAGAAAGTTGAGGGGGGTGCCAGACCAAGACATGGCACAAGTCCATGGAGTCACTGACAAGTGGACTGAGTCATGTTGGTAGGTGTAGACTACCTGTTTGGGGACCGCGAGATGATAGCAACCGATGGTTAGAGACCCTGAGTGACATGGTGCAGGTGCATCCACCCCTTGTGTTCTCCCAAATTCTAATCTTCTGAATTCTTCATGTCCCTTTCTTTTTTTTCTCTCCAAATTTATTTCACTGGATTATACTCCTTGAATAACATCTTCAAACCCTAATCTGTCCGATTACTGCCTATATTTTTACTTGCTCTACCACTACGGGATTTGAATCGAAAACTGCATCTCTGTGCTAATGTGGTATGGCAACTCGAACTGATGTATGTACGTATGAAGTTCTACCTTGTTACTGACTGACTGACAATCTAACGTCGCTCAAACGTCGTCCATAAATTAATAGTCTTACCATTATTTTTTTCAAAATTAAGACATTGATTTGATTGTTATTATCATATTACTATAGTGTTTTTCATTTATTTATTTATTCTACTTGACATTTCGAATATGTATATATTCAATACAAAGTTTTTTTTATGGATAAGCTTTCATTGTAAAGAAGTGTATGTAGTTTAACCTTTGATTATTTAAATAAATGAATGAATGAAATATTTTACAATATAAATAGCAGCTTCAATCTATCAATGTACTTTCTATGAGTTGTTAAGTTATCATTCGATCTGAAGTATTATAAGGTTATTCATTGTTCTTTATATCTGAAGAAAGATCTTTTATTATTCAGATTTTATAAGATATTTCATGTATAGTAAGTTTAGGTGGTTGAAAAGAATATATAGATTATATATAATAATATAGAATTGACTCATGAATTCATTTGTTAAATTATTACTATCTCCACAAAACCCGTGTCTGATTATAGCCATCATATGATCACTAGTGACTGTCTCCAAGAATTATTTCCTGGAGTCCTAGTGAGAAGCAGTGACCAGTGGAGTTCAACTGTGTCTACTGTGAGATAGTAATTCACTGAAGACAATGTTGGATGTGTCGCTCAATTTCGTAGATTGGTTGAAGTTAAACATTAACACCGTTGGATGCCAGCTATCTCAGTGGTCTAGAGGTTAAGCGTTCGCTCGCGAGACTGATAGATCCTGGGTTGGAATCTTGCGAGTCAGGATCATGTATGCGCACTGCTGAGGTGTCCCACAATAGGATGAAACAGTCGTTCAATGCGTCCAGGTTTTTCATGGTTATCTAGCTTCAATTAATTCATGATCTCAACGATTAAAATTACTATAATATCCACACACAATCCCTTTTGATACTAAGGTTTCTTTATTAATTCTACTTTAATTTTATGAATAATCGACTCCGTATAACTTTATTCCATATTCAATTTTTCACATTTCTAAATTTAATAACGTTGCTAAGGTGTGACAATTTCTACGTACATTTATACATATATCCAATGTAAAATTAAACAAGTATGAATTAAGAAAAGGAAAAACAAAAATCAAATTCACTTATCACTCATATTTCTCATCTTAGATATAAATCATAAAATCATTGTAGTATAATAAATATGTCAGTTTACATTTGATTGATATATGGATAAAGTAAACTTAATCATTATTAACAGGCTTTAATTTAAGGTGGTATATGGAATAATATTGAATTTCTTCTCAAGGGTAAACAATGTTTTTTTTAAAGCAAAGATGGCTAGTGGCTAGCAGTGGAATCCAATTTGACGCACGTTTCGTCCTGTTTGGGACTCATCATCTGGATGTCCTAGCATCTCCGAGTTGATGTTCATTCTGGGACTTGAACTCAGTACTGTCCGCTTCAAACGCCATCGCGTTATCCACTTAGCTACTGAGTCCTGATGGCCACTTGGTTGTGCAATGGGGTGAAGTTTAATTCACTTGGTATTGTTTGGCTTGTATCTTCGCATCAATTTCAGTCCTAAAAACATTAATAGGAAGATTCACGTAAAACAATACCAAGTGAATTAATGTCTTTTTTTGTTAAAAGTAATCTTTAAGGACTAAAATGATTTCATATATATATATATATATATATATATATATATATATATATATATATATATATATATATATATATATATATGGGATAATTTGACACACACATACACAAATACATAACCACAAATGTATATCTATATACATGTAAAGGCGTTTACAAGTTTTAAATTATGCACATAGTGATAAAAAAGGGAGTTTAAAATTAAATAAGAAATTGTATGGAACATTTATTGATTAACTCCTACAGATAAACATGTTTTAACAAATTGCTTTATTGAAAGATTGTCAAAAATAAGTGATAACTAATAAAAAAAAATACTTCAATTATATTAACTACTTCTATTTTAGTAGCCCGGGGATCTGACTCCAATTAGGATCGTAATGAATGTTTGTTATCGCCTATCCTTGTTGTATATATAATCATCGAGTTAAATCGCGTTAGTCAATAACGGATTTAGATAAGTCATATAACGAGAATATGGACTTTTGAATACATATATATTTTGTATATAAAGTGAATGTAATAGAACAAAGCAAAATGACGCGCAGTGGAGATGGCGGGTAAGCCAACTCCCATTTAACCATACCTTAATTAATAATTATAGTTACACAAAAGTAAGTTACAGACATGTGATGAGTAATGGGATAAGAAATGTATACACACCTACGTGCTCATATAAAAACAGTCAAGATTGATAGAATAGAATGGGCTGTCCGAAAGCTAGAATAAAGTATATGGGCTTGACATAACTGGCATTACACTATTTTCTTCTTCTTATATGGTTCAAAACTGGATTGAAGTAGTGCATATTTTAAGCTTCAATGTTATTCTATAATATATATGGGATGCGCGTTTCTTCGTATTTGGGACTCGTCAGCTTGATGCTGACTCCGGGACTCGAACCTGGTGCCGTTCTCTCCGAACGCCATCGCGTTATCTACTTAGCTACTGAGAACTAATAACCACCTTCTTGTGCAGTGAGGTGTTGTTATATTCA